AGACATGCGCGAATAAGGCAGAATAGAGGAAGAGAGGCAGAGAGAGAGAGAGAGAGAAGCGATAAGATAGAAGCGGGGCAGCGAGAGCATCGATCAGAACTCACCGCGCAGAGAGGTGAGAGAGAGAGAGAGCGAGAAGTGTAAGAAGAGGTGGGGGTGGGGAGACGAGGAGAAGAGAGAGAGAGAGAGAGAGAGAGAGAGAGAGCGAGAAGAGAGAGAGAGAGAGAGAGAGAAAGAGAGAGAGAGAGAGAGAGAGCGGAAGAGAGCGAGAGAGAGAGAGAGAGAGCAGAGAGAGAGAGAGAGAGAGCGGGAGAGAGCGAGGGAGAGCGAGAGAGAGCGAGAGAGAGAGCGAGTGAGAGCGAGAGAGAGAGAGAGAGAGAGAGAGAGCGAGAGAGAGCGACAGAGAGCGAGAGAGAGCAAGAGAGAGCGAGAGAGCGAAAGAGAGAGAGAGAGAAGAGAGAGAGAGAGAGAGAAAGAGGGAGATAGAGAGAGAAAGAGAGAGAGAGAGAGAGAGAGAAAGAGAAGAGAAGATAAGAGAGAGAGCGAGAGAGAGAGAGAGAGGGAGAGTGAGAGAGAGAGGAGAGAGCAGAGAGATAATAGAGAGAAGAGAGAGAGGAGAGAGAGAGAGAGAGAGAGAGGCAGAGATAGAGGCAGAGAGAGAGAGGCACAGAGAGAGAGGCAGAGAGAGAGAGAGAGGCAGAGAGACAGAGGTAGAGAGAGAGGCAGAGAGAGAGAGAGGCAGGGAAAGAGAGGCAGAGACAGAGAGATGGCAGAGAGAGAAAGAGAGAGAGAGAGACAGAGAGAGCAGAGAGAGCAGAGAGAGAGGCAGCTCAGTCACACTTAAATTCAGATTCGTCCTCACCGAGTCCCACCACCAAGGGAGCGCCAGCAAGGAGATGCACATATGGGGATCCCCACGCAGTGAATAATTACTATTACTACCACTACCACCAGCACTACTACTACTACTACTACTACTACTACTGCTGCTACTATTACTACTACTACTACTACCTACCTACCTACCTACCTACCTACCTACCTACCTACTTACTTACCTACCTACATACCTACCGACCTACCTACCTACCTACCAACCTACCTACCTACCTATTGCTACTACTACTACTACTACTACTACTACTACTACTACTACTACTACTACTACTACTACCACTACCACTACCACTACCACTACCACTACCACTACCACTACTACTACTACTACTACTACTACTACTACTACTACTACTACTACCACGACCACTACGACCACTACGACTTCGACGACTACTACTACTACTACTACTACCACTACTACTACCACTACTACCACTACGACTACTACTGCTTCTACTACTGCCTTTACGACGGCCACTACTACTACTACTACTACTACTACTACTACTACTACTACTGCTACTATCTACTACTACTACTACTACTACTACACTACTACTACTACTACTACTACTACTACGACTAACTACTACTACTAACTACTACTACTACTATTACGAACGAACGACACGACTAGGACGACTACTACTACGCCTACGACTATACTACTACTACTACTACTACTACTACTACTACTACTACTGCTACTAGCTACTACCACTACTACTACCACTACTACTACTACTACTACTACTACTACTACTACTACTACTACTACTACTACTACTACTACTACTACTACTACTACTACTACTACCACTCTTACGGCTACTACTACTCCTACTATTATTTAATCGCTTCGCTCATTCCGCCGGCCCGTATTGTGCCATCGCAGGCGTTTGCTTGCGCGTTCGTGGCCTCTTGGAGCCTCGGTGGGGCCGTTTGGGGCCTCTTGGCGCCTCTTTTTAGGCCTCTTGGAGAAATCGGGAGGCCTCCAGGGGGCCTCCTGAGCTCTCGTGACGGTCTCTTGGGGGGCTTTCGGCGGGCTCTTGGCGGTATTTGTTGGTCCTCTTGGGGCCTGGGGCCTGACGTTGTTGGTCCTCTTGGGGCCTCACGGGAGCTTATTGGGGCGTCTTGGGGGTGTCTTGGAGAGTCTCTTGGGGCCTCTTTCGGGGTCCTGGGCGCCTTCTGGGGCGGAGGGCTCGATTTTTCAGTTCTCGGTTCCCTTCTTGAGCCCCTCTTGGGCCCGTCTTGGGGCCTCTTGGTCCGCCTTGGGCAGCACTTGGGCCGTCTGGGGGGCGCTCTTGGGCCGCTCCGGGGCCGTCTTGGGAGCCTCGTGGGCCGTCTTGGAGCAGTCTTGAAGGCCTCTTGGGCCCTCTTGGAGCGTCCGGAAGCGAAAAGGCCAGAACGCAAAAAACATAGAAAAAACAAATGAAAATCAACGATTTTGGCAACTTGGGGCCCTCTTCGGAGGCCTCTTGGAAGGCCCTTGGAGCGTCTTGGAGGCCTCTTGGGCTGTCTTGGGGCCATCTGGGGCGTCTTCGGGCGATCTTTGGCCGTCTCGGGCCTCTCTTGGACCGTCTAGAAAGCTTCTCGGGGCCCTCTTGGACCGATCTGGAGCCCTCTTGGACTCCGAAACAGAACTCCGGCATCTCTGACCCGACCTTGCCAGGGACTTGCCGGGGACTTGCCGGGACCTTGCCGGGGTACTTTTCGCCCGGGGACCCCCAGGGGCCGCCCCGCGCGCGCGAATTAGAAATACTGTTAACCAGGTACCGGAGATCTTAGCACGCCCTGGCCCGTTGGGCCGGCGAATTTCTACTACTACTACTACTACTACTACTACTACTACTACTACTACTACTACTACTACTACTACTACTACTACTACTACGACTACTACTACTACTACTACTACTACTACTACTACTACTACTACTACTACTACTACTACTACTACTACTACTACTACTACTACTACTACTACTACTACTACTACTACTACTACTACTACTACTACTACTACTACTACTACTACTACTACTACTACTACTACTACTACTACTACTACTACTACTACTACTACTACTACTACTACTACTACTACTACTACGACTACTACTACTACCTCTACTACTACTACTACTACTACTACTACTACTACTACTACTACTACTACTGCTACTACTACTACTCTACTACTACTACTACTACCACTACTACTACTACTACTACTACTACTACTACTACTACTACTACTACTACTACTACTACTACTACTACTACTACTACTACTACTACTACTACTACTACTACTACTACTACTACTACTACTACTACTACTACTACTACTACTACTACTACTACTACTACTACTACTACTACTACTACTACTACTACTACTATTACTACTACTACACTACTACTACTACTACTACTACTACTACTACTACTACTACTACTACTACTACTACTACTACTACTACTACTACTACTACTACTACTACTACTACTACTACTACTACTACTACTACTACTACTACTACTACTACTACTACTACTACTACTACTACTACTACTACTACTACTACTACTACTACTACTACTACTACTACTACTACTACTACTACTACTACTACTACTACTACTACTACTACTACTACTACTACTACTACTACTACTACTACTACTACTACAACTATTGCTACTACTACTGCCTCAAGCCGAAGATCGAGACCATTTGCCGCCGTCTACGCGGCACTTTTTATCCCCATACATGCGCGAGGAAACGGTCATGCCATACCACGCCCGAGCCTCCCCAGCATCGGCCACCACCACCGCGCGACGACGATCCAGCCAACGACCTCGTCAACCACGTGATTGACGATCAGGAACGTCGGCGGCTCGCCGTGGCAACTGATGGCGCGAGTCGTATCCTGAAAACTCACGGCTGGCCAGAGTTGGCTATGCGACGGTTGTGGTGCCACATCAACCGACTGAATGCCTCGTCTAAACTCCAGACACCGTCGGAGTCGTACCCGTGCTGAAGCTCGAGCCATCCTCCACGTCCTACGATTGGCTGAAGAGCCTATAAGAATATACTGCGACATTGAGCAATGCGCGAAGAAGTTCCAGAACCTCTTGGACGGCGGAGAACTTCCCAGTGGCAGCTGGGCGGACATCTGGCAACGAATTCAGCAGGCGATCCCCGCGAAGCCTGACATGTTCAGGATTGAGCATGTTTTCTCGCACCAGGGCGACGGCAGTGTGGATTGCGGAGCCGGTGCGCCCTGGCTGAGGAGTTGAACAAACATGTGGATCAGCTTGCCACTGATGCCGCCAAGACCCACCCCCTCTGGTAACGAAGCCAGAGGCCGATTTTCCTTGACCGCTGCCGTGCATTAGACGGTCGTTCCGATTCTGGAGAAGCGTGCTCTCACCGGGCCCCTGCCCCAGCGGTCCGCGGGGGTCTCTGAGGCCCAGCTCTCTCGCCTTACTCCGTGGACCTCCGTCTCTCTCCTGCCTCCCCCTCCTCCCCCTCCTCCCCCTCCTCCCCCTCCTCCCCCTCCTCCCCCTCCTCCCCCTCCCCCTCCCCCTCCTGCCTCCCCCTCCTCCCCCGCTTCCTCCCGTCTGGGCGCAGGAGATGGGGGCCGAGGCCGAGCTCGAAGAACAGGCTGATTTTCATTCTGTCGTTTGTGGTTCAGCGAACGGCTAGCCGTTTTTGAACGAGCCAGCCTGCCGAGTATAGTTAGTGGCTCGTAAGGCGCACCCGAGGCAACAGACCCACCTGTCTCCGTCTTGGCCCCTTTGTGCAAGGACTGTGTCCTCAGGCTCCAGATGAGGGGGGCATCCCTCTTGTGCTACATTCAGGAGTCTGTGCAGGCCCAGCGAGCCTAAACTGACCATTCCAAAACGCGGGGCATGACCATCATCATCATCATCATCATCATCATCATCATCATCATCATCATCATCATCATCATCATCATCATCATCATCATCATCATCATCATCATAATCATCATCATCATCGCCATCGCCATCGCCGTCGCCGTCGCCATCGTCATCGTCAGCATTATCATTGTCATCACGTATTAGCTGGCAGGACCTCACCAAGCGCACCTTTACCGGGTGCCTCTTCAGCACCATGGCGGGGCCTCGTCCGTCGGAGCCCTCCACGGTGGCCACGCTCGCGATGCACCACACCCTCTCGTGGCTGCTCTGCGCCGCCGCCGAGGCCGTGTCGGCGGCCTTCCCGCGGGGCAGGGCCGCGTCGGGCGCCGAGCCCGCGGCGGGCCGGGGCGCGGCAGCGTGCTCCACTGCCGACAAGAGGCCGAGGGCCGATACGGCAGGACGGAGGCCGTGGGCAGGGAAGTGGGTCGACACGGCGAAGGGTTTCTTCCACGGCGCGACCATCAGCATCGAGGACGACTCGTGGCGCCTGGAGGGCTCGGTGGACCACGTCCACGAGGGAGCGTCGTTCTCCCTCGGCGCGTCCTCGGAGGACGGGGTGCGGCTGATCGAGTCGTTTCCCGACGGGTTTGTGCACATGTTCGACGCGTCTTGCCAGGAGGGGTGCCTGAGGGTCGTGCGCGCGGGCACCATCTCGGCCCGCTCCGACGGCGATTCCTCGTTCCTCGAGACGTGTAGTAAGCCGCAGGAGTCAGGGGAAGAAACAATCACACGAGCATGAAAATCAGGAGCTCCGCGCGAATTCCTCGGATCGGCGCTGGACCCCCCTCCCTGGCGGCGCCAGGGGGCCCCAGCGCCGATCCGAGGAATCCGCGCGGACCTCCCAGTTGTGATGTTAATGTCGCGATGTCATCGTTTGGTGCCCCAGGAGTGGGTGCTGCAGGACTTGGCCAAGGTGGCCCTGCCCGTCCTCACGCTCGGCGCCTCCGACGTCCGGGACCTGCCGCACCTGCTGAGGTCGCTGCTGCCCGCTGCGGAGGAGCTGTGTGGCGTCAGCCGGACGGGCGCGGTCGCGGAGATCGGGCGGGTGGCAGGGGTAGGGGGCCACACGCGAACCCTACCCCTACCCCCCAAGATTTCTGAGGGGGAGGGTGGGGTTCATTTCGCTCGGGAGCTCCCGAACGAAGTGAACCCCACCCTCCCCCTAAGAAATCGTGGGGGGTAGGGGTAGGGTTCGCGCGTGGCCCCCTAATGGGGGCTCCTTGAGATCCGACGTTGCGAAGAGATGGCAGCATCGCGAGAAATCACGCCCAGAGCCCCAGGCCCCATCGTTCTGCGTTCTTTTTCGAGCCAGATCGATCTGTGAGGGTCTCCGGGCCTGAGCCTGGGCGAAGAGGCCCATTGTGAAAAAGGTGCAGCGCCAGGGTCGCAGGGGTAGCCTAAATGGCGGGTGAAGAAATGAACCCTAAAGGGGCCCTGTGGGCCCCTCCTTATGGCCCTCCTCTTCACCCTATGTTAGGCCAACCCCCCCATTACCACCCCGCCCGAGGAGAGGGCATCGGAGGTGAGGGCGAGCCTCTTGCTCGTCGGCAGGTACCTCTCAAAGGAGGAAGCAAACAAACATGCAAGCAAACAAACGAAACGAAACCACAAATCTCGAAGGAGGAAGCACGGCATAAGCATGAACTTTCGGAGCTCCGCGCCGATTTCTTGGATCGGCGCTGGACCCCCTCTCTGGCGCGCGGAACGCGCTAGGGGCGGCGCCAGAGGCGCCGCCAGGGGGGCCCCAGCGCAGATCCGAGAAATCCGCGCGGAGCTCCAAACGTGTATGTATATGCAGCGTGTTTCGTCTTCTGCAGGTACCTCGCGTCCCACCTGCTGGAGGGGTGGTACTCGTTGCTGCTGTCGGCTGTCTACGTGTATGTCACCGTGACGATCGGGTACCCTCTGATAAGCAGCACGTGGGCACGCATGCGCGACACGGCCGCACTCGACGAAAATGAGGATGAGTGGTGGTGGGTGGTCCTCGAGTATGTCGCGGCACACCTCGATGCTCATCTCTACGTCTTCATGGGTGCCTGTCTGGCCACCGCGCACCGCGTGTGCTCTGGCCGCCGGCTCTTCGTGCGCTACAGTGCCAAGATGTTGGTCATCGTCGATTGCACGGTCAACTACAAGCTGCTCCGCGCCTACGTGTCCAAGCTGCGCGCCCTCGCGTTCCGCTTCACCACGTTCGGGGTCGCCGGGCAGAACGGCGAGGACCACTTCGTGCACGAGATGACGCACCTGACCACGTCCGAGGCGGTGTCCTCTGCCTCCCCGCGTCCGTCCTCCCACTTCGAGTCCGTCTCGCTCCCCCCCCAAACAAAAATCACGAATTTGAGGGGCCCACCGTACTTAATCTAAATATTATGCGTTTGCTTATCATTGCCATATCTGCGCGATCCTGCGTTCTGAACCTTCGTCGCGAATGTTTCCTTATTTTGCCATCTATCACACCATTGCTTGAACCTTCTCCCCCTTCCCCGCCTTCGATCCTCCATCGGGGAAAAGTTCGAGGTGGTCACCGAGGGCCTTTTCTTGGGGCGACAACAAGCAATGAGGTAATGCAAGACGATCGAGCCCCCTATGGGGCCACGATCCTCAAGAGTGATGTGCCGAAATGGGCGCGGTGCTGCCATGCGAACGCAACCACTGGGACCTTCGGTGGGGCTCACTGTGGGGCCACGATCCTCGTGAGTGATGTGCCGAAATCGGTGCAGTGCCGCCATGCGAACTTTGCCACTGGGTCCTTCGATGGAGCCCCTCTGGGGCCACGATCCTCGTGAGGGGTGTGCCGAAATGGGTCGGTGCCCCCATGCGAACGCAGCCACTGGGGCCTTCAGTGGAGCACCCTGTGGGGCCACGATCCTCTTGAGGGATTGCCGGAATGGGTGCGATGCCGCCATGCGAACGCAGCCACTGGGGCCTTCTGTGGAGCACCCTATGGGGCCGCGATCCTCGTGAGGGGTGTGCCGGAATGGGTGCGGTGCCACAATGCCAACGCAGCCGCTTGGGCCTCCGGTGGAGCTCCCTATGGGGCCACGAAGTGCATGAGGGACGCGCCGAGATGGGGGCGGGTACGCGGAGGACACACGCGGGAATGAGAAGATGGAGGAGGAAGGTGGCAGCGGGAGGACGGAGGGAACGCGGGGCGCTGTCTCTTCGAAGCGAGGACCCGACTCCACAGGATATTTGGGAACAAAGACATATGCAGCCGATACGCGCGACAGTCTTTTTTGAGACCACGCTGCCCACTCTCCCTCCTCGTCGTCGTCCTCCTCCTTGTCGTCGTCCTCCCCTCTCCTCTTCCCCACCAGTGCGGCTCAGAAAGAGCCAGTCCTGTGTAGCATCTTGACTCTCCAGATTTCTCTGTCGACTCTTGCTCGGTTGCGCCTGGGCGAAGTCATCGGCAGACGGCTGGCGCAGTGGTGTGCAGAAGACGTGCGGCACTCGCCCAGCGTCGTCCCCCAGATCGGTTTTGTTGAACCTATCCCCATCCTCACCGGGGCCATGGTCTCTCCGCCCCACCCTCCCACCACCACAGGCGGGGACCCTTCGAAACCCGAGGGGAGCAGTGTGTGTCCCCATCCAGGGGGGTGAGCTGGCAGGTGGGGCCCAGGCCGCGCCAGTGGGGAGAGATGTCGGCTGAAGGATGATCGCCAGAGGCTGTGCAGAGCTTGTCGCCGTGGAGGGGGAAAGACAGAGACGCCCGACCACGCCCGAGGTGGTGATCCTCGCCGGCCGTGCCGACGGCCGCCTCGGGACCCTCGCCTCCATGGAGGCCGCCAGCATCATGTCTCTGCAGCAGGCGCGCTTCATCGCTGCGAACCCGCACACGGGCGTCGAGGCGCCGGGAGCAAGCGAAGATGCCGGCAGGTTCCTGTCGGGTCGGCGCGGCGGCGACTCCGCCGCGGGCGCTTCGAGGTTAGACTCCGCCGGTGGCCCAGAGTCGGCCGATCAGGAGCGACGGTAGAGGGAAATAATTACTGAACACTCCCCCTCCCCCCCAAACTCAATGTTGGCACGCGCGGGAGAGACTGCGGTCGAAGTTGATCTCATCAGCCCCGCCGCCAACTTTGAACATTGGGGGGAGGGGGAGGCGTTGACGGATGAACGTGGCATGTGTTCGCTAATTTGTTCCGAGGCTTGGATCTGGCCACCGAAAGGCCACCAACGCTTCGAGGCTGAAGAGTCTGCGCGGTGTCAGAAACCCACGCTGGGGAGCGGGAGGCCGGCCAGTGCGAGCGCACATTCTCAGGCTTCCCATGGATTCCCCGGAATGCTACCAGGCGGGCCAGGGGTGAGAGCTCGGCCATGTGCACCTCAGCGCATGCTTTCCCAACCATCCTGTGGTGTTGGCTCGTGCGCCCCGCGTTCCTTCCTCCTTCCTCCTTCCCCTCCTCATCCTCGCCCTCCTCCTCTCATCCCTTGCCTCTGCCCTCCGCATTATTTTGTATCGGTGCACTCCGCACACGTTCCGTCCACATGCGTCTCCCCGCCCCATTTCGACACACCCCTCTCACGTTTCGTGCCCGAAACGTGTCTGGGGTTTGCCAGAATGCGGCGGGGAGACGCATGGGGACCCTGCCACTCCGGCAGTCGGTGGAGTTCCCTATGGGGGCACGAAACGTGTGAGGGTGTGCCGACATGGGGCGGGGAGACGCATGTGGACCTTCCCAATGGGGCCTTCGGTGGAGCTCCCTTTGGGGGCACCAAGCGTGTGAGAGGTGTGCCGACATGGGGCGGGGGGGCACATGTGGACCCTGCCACGGGGACCTTCGATGGAGCTCCTGATGCAGCCACGATGCGTCCGAGGGGTGTGCCGAAATGGAGCGGAGAGACGCATGTGTGAACTCGTCGAAGCACTCGAAGTCTCCAACTCCCCTCGAATCGAAGTCCGAATCTCTGCCAACTTCTCCTCGAACACCTTCCCTCACTATGCTCTGCACGCGGGGGGCGGTGATGGTAACCTTTTCGGTCAGTCGAGAGGCCTCTCGCGCTCAAAACGGCAATGGTCAAACGTGCCGTCATTATTTGCTGCTTGCTATGTGCTGACACTGGGCCTCCAGGGGCCTCGAGAGGGAAAAGCATCTAACAACATTATGTTACACACATTGTATGGAGTGCAATTCACAGCATGTGGACCCTCCCAGTTGGGCCTTCGGTGGAGCTCAATATGGGGCCACGGAGCGTGTGAGGGGTGTGCCGGAACGGGGCGGCAAAGCGCATGTGGACCCTCCCACTGGGAAAATTCGGAGGAGCTTCCCATGTAAAGTCAATACGCCGTGCGTCCTGTGGGCGCGTGGGCAATGCAGTGGCTTTCAAGTCATGTCGGCGCGCCAAGCGCGTCCCAGATGCAGACCGCCAAGCGCGCTGCAAAGAGGATGACGTGATGCCACGGCGGCACGCGGTCAAACACGGAGATGCAGCATTGCGTACGGTAGGTTCGTGTCGTGTCGACCGGCGGCGACCCCAGCGTGGGCGTTCAAGGTTGAACGCCGCCGGCGACCCAGAATCGATCGATGTTGAACGATCGGACGTTGCGGCAGCGGCCGATCGTTCAAGGTTGAACGATCCCCGCGGTGTCAAAAACCAACGCCGGGGTCGGCACGACACGAACCTGCCGTACGCTTCGTCTGCCCACTGCTGTCTTCTTGGGCGGCCTCCGTGCCCGCGAGGAGCCCCAATTCCTCGGGGAGCCGCCCGCGCCGCACACGAGCTGTTTTTTTACCAGAGGTTTGTCCGATGGGGCAGCGATCTGTCTGTACAAACTTGTCCGTTTGTCTAATGACCAAGGGCTCCCCCGAGGGCGCGAAGTTATTCGCGCTTCGCCGTCCTCGTTCCTCCTCCCCCTCCTCCTCGTCCTCCTCTTCTCCCTTTGGGGGGGCGGCGCGAGAGCGCGAAGTTATTCGCGCTTCGCGCTTCGCGCAGCGCGAAGCGCGAACTTAGGAGCCCTTGAAGTTTGTCCGATGGAGCAGCGATCTGGTTGTACAAACTTGTTCGCTTGTCTATAACACGTGCGGCAACGGCTTGGAGCCTGCCCTTCTCTATGACGCTTGCGTTATACACGCGCGAGTAGCACGCACGTGGGATGCCAATGATCTTTCGCAAGCGCCTGCAATGAAGAGCGTCCAGGCGATCTCTGTCAGCCTTGAGCAGCCGAAACGAATCTTACGAATGCAGGAGCTTGCTGACCACACAACTTGAGTAAATATGCCACTTCCAGTATTTCCCAACAGAAGCGTGCGCCGACAATTCTTACAGGTGTTTTAGTGCATGTGCGCTTTCGCCAATGCGGCGGGACAGCTCGTTCTCTGCCCGCCCATCGCAGGACACGATCCCTCCAAGGTATTTGGCTTCCCTGACGGTCTTGATCGGTTCGCCCGTGGGTCTTGTGATCGCACCAGCAAATTCAATTTGGATTTGTAAGATTTCGATCCAATTCATTTCCATGCCGTATTTCTGTCCTTCCAAAAAGATTGCATCAAGCAAAAGTTGCAAATTTGAAATATGCTTCGGAACCAACAGTGCATAGTCGGCGTAGCGTATGTCGCGGGTGGCAATGTATCCGGGTTCTCTTTCCAATGCCAGAAGAGCAAAAGCGTCGTGTAGCATAACGGTTTGAATTGTTATAAAGCGATATGGTGAAAGGGGGCACCCTTGAGCAAGGCCAGCATGTCGTTACCGTTGAGAATAAATACGTTTAACCATTTCCACAATCAGGGCAGGCAGGCCGAATCGTTCGAGAGTTTTGCAAAGGCAGTCTGGCTTGCACCCCTCACGAGGATCGTGGCCCCCTCGCCGAAAATTCCAGCCCTCAGTCTCCAGAAGCCTCCGAAGAGGCCACAAGAGGCCCCAAGTGGTCCCCTGAGGGCCCCAAGAGAGCCCCAAGAGGGACACTGAGGGCCCCAAGAGGGCCTTCAAGAGGCAAACATCTGCACATTTACTCCGTGAAGCGTACATTTTCGGCATACTCGCTGGCTTCGCCTTCACAGTGCCCCAGACGCCCCCGCGGAGCCCCAAGACAGCCCAAGAGAGACCCAAGAGGGCCCCAGACGGCCCAAAAGCGTCGGCCTGTGGGGCTCACCGAACCCCCCGAGACGGCCCAAGAGGCCCCAAAGCCGGCCCAGGAGGCCTCAGGGAGGCCCAAGAGGGCCTCGATCGAAATCATGTTCCCGGAAGTCTCTCCGGGAACATGGTTTCCGGGTTCCGAGGACGCCCAAGAGGCCCACAAGACAGCCTCAGCGAGGGGCCCGAGATGGCTTGAAGATGGCCGAAGAGGGCCCCAAGAGGGCCTTCAAAAGGCAAACATCGGCCCATTTCCGTTGTAAAACGTACATTTTCAGCATACTCGCTGGCTTCGTCTTCGCAGTGCCCCAGACGCCCCCGCGGAGCCCCAAGACCGCCCAAGAGAGACCCAAGAGGGCCCCAGACGGCCCAAAAGGGTCGGCCTGCGGGGCTCACCGAACCCCCCGAGACGGCCCAAGAGGTCCCGAAGACGGCCCAGGAGGCCCCAAGAGGGCCTCGATCGAAATCATGTTCCCGGAAGTCTCTCCGGGAACATGGTTTCCGGTTTCCGAGGACGCCCTAGAGGGCCCCAGGACAGCCTCAGCGAGGCCCAAGAGGGCCCGAGATGGCTTCAAGATGGTCGAAGAGGGCCCCAAGAGGGCCTTCAAGAGGCAAAACTCAGCCCGTCCCCGTAGTAAAACGTACGGACTCGGCGCGAGACAACTGGCGACCGCAGTTGCCGTCCCTTCGTGCTGGGCGCGTGCGAACCTGGCGTTCAGTTTGGACGGAACGTGTCGGGTCTGTTGCCAATCGGGGTTGCGCCAGGTTAGGCCACCCCCAAGGTCAGGTTCGGGAATGGGTCGCTGCAACACGACAACGACGACGACGACGACGACGACGACGACGACGACGACGACGACGACGACGACGGCACGCCCCAACAGGCTCCCCAAGACGCCCCAAACCCATGCTCCCAGAAGGCCTTCTGGGAACCCGATTCATACGGCCTCCGCCCCCCTACACAACCATTTTCCTCGAAGGCCTTTCGGAGTGCGGATTCGTATGCGTGGACTGTGGTCCACTACTTCAGTGGAGCAGTGAATTCGTCAAGGCCTGGGGCCTGCTAGAACCGGAGCGCGCGCGAAGCGCGCGCCATGGTTCTGGTATATATATATATATATATATATCTGTGTGTATGTATATATATATACACATAAATATATATATATATATATATATATATATATATGTATATATATATATATATATATATTCGTGGCGTCGGCGCCGACGTCGAGAAGGCAGGCCCGCGCGCCTCCACACGGCAGGTTCGTGTCGTGTCGATGCGGCGACGGCCCTGGGGTGGGCGTTCAAGGTTGAACGCCTCCAGCGTCCCAGAATCGGCCAACACGAAACGATCTGGCAATTGATAATTCGTCGGTCGTTCAAGGCTGAACGATCCGCGTGGTGTGAAGAACCAACGCCAGGGTCGTCACGACACGATTGGGTTTCGATGGTTTTGCTATGGGAATCGTGACGTTCCCATACCAGAAATCGATGGCCGTCCTGGGGTCTCAGGGTTGGGCTTCTTGTGGAAGGTTTCTTGTGTCCGAGCTCCTGCTGTCAGTTTGTCGGGCGGAGCGCGGATTTCGCAGACCTGCGCTGGACCCAGAGATCCAACGTATGCTAATACTACGTGCGCGTCGCCCCCAAAGGGGCGACGCGCGCACCGAGAAATGTTGTATTATATATGCGTCGTGGCGGTGTCATGCTGGCCACACTGCTCGGGAAACGATCTATTACAAGCTGGGTATACTATATGTTCGGGTCGGACGCGCGCCTCCAAGCAGGACATATAGTGCTAGTATGTATCTGTGCGTCCCAAAATTTGTAGGGCGGAGCGAGGATTTCTCAGACGTGCGCTGCACCCAGAGATCCAACGTGTTGACAAAACAAGATGGAGGTTTTTCGCTGTTTTCGGCCTCTGGAGGCCCTCGCCGGGCCCAGGGAACGTCAACAAACGCTGGGGAAAGGGTCGAGACCTCCCGGGATCCTGTATGGAAGAAATCAAGGCATCGGATTTTTGTGGACCCCCGAGGCTCGGAGGAGGGAAGGGTACCGATGCCGCTGCCCTTCGTCCGCCCTCCCCTTCTCGGGGGCCTCCCGGGAGGCTCGTCGTCGCCACGTATGGGGTTCGCCCCGACGTTTTGGCCAGAACGCGCCCGGGAGAGGTCCGAGGAGCACGGCAGGTTCGCGCCATGCCGACCTGCGGCCACCCTGCCGCGGGCGCTCAACACGGAATGCCGCCGGCGACCCAGAATCGGCCTTGGACGATTTGACGTCTCGGGAGCGGCCGATCGTTCACGATTCAGCGATCCCCGCGGTGCCAGTCGCCACCGCCGAAGTCAGCACGACACGAGCCTGCTGCAGCAGTGGCGGTGCCTTGGAGTTTCCCAAGCGGCGGCGCCTGCGGCGACGCCCTTGCCGTGCCGGGGGGCGCCCCTGCCGTGCCAGGGTGGCGGGACCAGGGCCGGCCCGAGAATTCCGCGCGGGCCGCAGTGAGTCTGCGCTCATTGGGGGACCCAGGGAGGCACAAAGAAGTCCCCGAATTCCAGGACTCCCTGGATGTCCCCGTTCTCCTCCGTTTCCCATGCGTTGTTCTGTTCATTCGCATGGGGGCGGCATGTGCGGCTCATGCACCTTTCTGTCGCCCGAAAGACCTCCGACGACGTAATCCTTTTTCAATCCAGCGCTTCTCGCTCTCAGCCCCTGGGGCCCTGGGGCCCCTGCTCGTGCACGGGGGCAATTTGAAGTGGAGCCAGGCCGAAAAAGAGCTGGCCCTGCGGGAGGGCCTGGACCTCTGGGGCCGCGGATCGGAAAGGCCACATCGGCGGACGTCTGGGGAGGTGCTTGGAGGGTGTCTCCGAAGGGCTTAGGCGACCCGTCCTCCTCCTCCTCCTCCTCCTCCTCCTCCTCCTCCTCCTCCCTCCTCCTCCTCCTCCTCCTCCTCCTCCTCCTCCTCCTCCTCGTCCTCCCTCCCCGGGGGAAGCCGTGCAGAGGTGGTGTCCGTGGGGCACAATCCGTGGACCAAGCCTGGGCTCTTCCAGCGGTCGGTGACGCTGTCCTCCGAGCACAGGCCAGCGTTCTACTCCCAGGAGTTACTGCGCAGCGCGGCTGGCGGGCACTCGCCCACGGACGTGCTGCACGGGGTTGCCATGCTGGCGAAAGGCGACGAAGAAGAAGAAACAGCAGCACAAACATGAACTGTCGGAGCTCTGCGCGGATGTCCTGGATCGTCGTTGGGCCCCCCTGGCGGCGCCTCCGGCGCCGATCCAAGAGATCCAGAGCTCCGAAAGTCTACGTTTGTGAAATTACTTCGTCCTCTAAGGAGACCTGTCCAGTGCGAGCACCCGAACAGGGAGCGAGGCCGCATTTCAGGATGTGCGGATCGAGGACATCGAGACGGAGATGGCGGCCAAGGAGCTGGACCTCGAGGATGCCCAGAGCATCATAGTCAAATTCGTGAGCAAGCGCTCCTACGTCTTGAATATCGACCCTGAGGATTTCGACGTCACCCAGGTTCTCAACGCCGACGTGGCCGCACGTCTGGCGAGCCAGCAGGTTCGCGGCCCGGTCCGTAAAGGCACTAAGGACAGGACGATGACATACTCGGCGCACTCGCCTCGGCCACCGCGCAACGTCTACAGCAAAGCACTCACCAAGCTGCGCCCTAGATCGTTTTTCGCCAGGGAGGACCCCGCCTTGTCTCAGCCTCCACCGGTGGATCCGCAGGGCGGCCCCACGAGCTCGTGCTCCACCATGCCGACGGAGTCGGTCGGGGCCGACTGGTTGGGGTTCAAGAAATCGGCTTCGACGGGTCATCCGAGCTTCAAGTTCACGGCCTCCAACATCATGTCGGTGCTCCGCGGCCGCACCTTGGAGGCAGTGATCGCGCAGATGCAGTCGGACCGGCATGAGAGGATGGCGCTCGCCAAGCGAGGTGGCCTCAGTGACCTCTTCTCCGACTCGGACACGCTGAGGGGCTGCTACGAGGCTCGAAGCAGAAAAAGCTGCAAGCAGTGGAGACCAATGCCAAGAAACACCCTGCTCGCCTCCAGGGTGCCCTGGGTTTCTTGGGTTTCGTTGGTTGTGCTGTAAACAGCGTGACGTTCCCACACCAAACATCAATGGACGCCCTGGGGTCTCAGGGTTGGGTTTCTTGTGAAGGTTTCTTGTGGTCGGGCCCCTGCTGTACATCCAAATTTTCCAGACTTGGGCGTGAAGGCGCGAACTTGTGCCCCAGTTGCCCGTCTGAGTATTCGACTCCCGTTTGGGCAGACACGTGCTCCGATTGCCTGTTTGGGCCCGCTCCGCGCGCAAGGGACCTGGCAATTCCCTTGGCACGCTCCGTGCGCCAGGGAGGGGGGGCCCAGCGCCGCTCCGAGAAGTCCGCGCGGGCCTCCAAAATGTTCTTCCGGATCTAAATTAATGGGAGGGGGCGTCTATTTTTGAGGGCGTCTCACAGGCCTCGTCAAACAAGATTGTGAGGGACTCTCGATGTTGGACCCGGTGCTGCACAGCTCTTGGGGGGGTCCTGGACGCGCTGTCAAGCCGCTTTTTGCCGCCCCCCTACCCCACTGTTATTGTGAGACTTGAGGGGTATCCGTATGCCGCTATTTGCCTCCCCCGAAGGCGTGGGCACACTTCGCGTCGCAGAGAGCCAAGGATCGGACGGGGCCAAGACGAGGAGAAATCCGTTCCAAGGCCTTCTGGAACGCTCCCCTTGGCATCGCTCGGACGTGTGCATTTTTCCTTCGGCGAGGGCCATCGAGGAACATCCTTGACCATTTGGCGAAAGAACCACGCACGAAACCCCCAAAAAAAAAGAAATTGACGTCCGAGCGATGGCGAGTCCCAGAGCGGTCCGGACCACTCTGAGAAGGCCGCGACGCCCGAGGCATTTTTCAGAGCCGCCAGACTTTTGAGATTCTCGATTCAGCCTCACCCGATTTTTATCCTGGTCCTGGCTCCGTCATGAAGGAGCGCATGTCGAGGGTGGCCACGCTCGTGACCACGCTGAAGACCAAGACGGACAGGGAGGCGTCCGCGGCGCTGCCGCCGCAGATGGCGCCGTGGCGGACACAGGAGCTTATGGCTGCGTTGATGCTCTCTTGCTGAAGCCCAACACTCGGGCGACGAAACAACCGGGGTCGACTGCGCCGACATTATGCCAGATACCGTTTTCACTTTCTGGCAAGGAGTGTCTATCGACACACTGGATGTCGTTACATGTGAATATATATATATATATATATATATATATAGACATGAAGTTATTTGAAGATAATTGTGCCTCACCTCTCTTCGAGCACGACCGTACACATTTGTGCTCTGGAGGTCTTTCGGCAGGAGTCACGTCCGCGCATGGCCGCTCCCGTGTACCTCTTCGAGGTCGGCGCGCGCCTGGCCGAGCTCTGGCTGCTGCGGGGGCACGCGTGCCCGCCTTGCAGCTGCCCGCCCTGCCCGGCCCAGACCTGCTTGCTGACGTGCAGCGGGCCGGCCTCCAGCCACAGCGAGCCCTGCTCGACATCGGAGGCGCCGGGAGGCCCCGGCTGGTCCTCCGTGTGGCTGGCCGCGGCGGCTGGCGCTGGCCTCGGCTGGCTCGCCACGCGCTGCTGGTCTCCGGCGGGCCCGCTCGCCGTCGCCCTCGCCGCCGAGGTGCCGCCGGTCCCAGACCGCGCTGCGCCTCAGCCGCCGCTCGTGGTGACTGGCCGGCCAGTGACGCCGAGCCAGCTCGCGCTGCGGGCGTGAGCTTGAGATGGCGGCCCGCCTCACGCTGGACCTGGCAGAGCCGCAGGTCCTCATCGACTTCCCCGACGATGCTGCGGGCCTGCGGTGGCATCACCGCGTCCTTCTCGTCCAGACGCCCACGCCGGGCGTCTGGATCGCCAGCACACCCGACTACTCGGTCCAGAGGCTGGACCTGAACGTGCATCGTGTCGTCGCGCTGGCGCGCAACGGCCCTTTCCCTGCAGCTCAGTGGCATGAGAGTTATGTCTTCGACAAGCCGATCCCCGCCGTGGACCTCACGCGGATCAGGCAGCAGGCGGGCTCGCTCGCCCTCGTCCTCGGCCAGGTCGGCCTGGCGCCCGCGGCGCCACCAGGTACGGCGGGGGTCTGGCGAGTCGCCGACCCGTCGCACCGCGCCTTCGGGGACGAGATCCCCGCCCAGGTCCTCAGCGACCCAGCCGCGTTCATCACCCCCGACGCCGCCGGCGACGAGGACTACCTCTGCGGGCTCATGATGATCGACGGCTGCTGGACCTTCTGCCAGCTCGTGGCCGACTCGGATAAGGACGCCTGGGAGAGGGCTTTCATCTCCGACCACCGCAAGGACGCGCGGGTTGCGGGCGACACCCGCGACCCGCTGACTGGCCAGCGCCTCTCCTCGTTCGTCGACTCCTTGGCCCTCCAGTACGCGGCCTCGGTCCCATCCTTCCCCCTCGGCGGCCAGAGGGTCGCTCACGAGTACATGCGGACGCTGCGTGCCACGGGCATGGAGTGGGTCACGCACCACCTGGACTTCGTCCACAAGTCGGGCATCTCGCCCAACAGCAACATCACGCGCACACATCGTCGCCTGACCGACGCGCTGCACGCCTTCCAGCAGCAGGACATGCTGAACCTGCCCAGCCTCGTGGGCATCGAGGTCCTGGTGCGCTACCTCGTCCAGATCGGGATGGCGGTGGCCCGAAACCCTCGGAGCCCAGACTTCCAGGACCTCGACGCGGTCGTCGCCTCCACGGTCAACGAGTACGGCGGCCTGGTCTTGCCAGAGCACACGAAGTACATCGCCCAAATCTAGAAGGACGAGGTCTTCACTTTGAAGCAGCAGCGGCAGTGGCGCGAGGAGCAGATCTCGCGTGCGAGGGGCCGCGGCTCTGGTCATGATGACGGGCGCGGCGACGGCGGCGGAGGAGGTGGCGGCGGCGGCGGCCGCGGGAAGGGCCGCGGGCGCGGCCGCGAGGGTGGACGCGGACGCGGCGGCCGGGGGGCTGATGCCCCGGCCGCCGCGGACGCATGACTCCCGTCGGCCAGGCCGCGGAGAGGCGGCGCTCGCCCCAGCGTCGCTCGGCCTTCGAGTCCTCCGCGGTCTGGTTCACTGGGGGCCGCGCGAGAGGCCCTGCCGCCGAAGGGGCCCCTCGATTTTTGACTGGCCGCGCTCACGGCGACCCTTTCCCTCTGCCGCTGCTCGGCAGAGCGACGCCGACGGGCGTGCTGCCACGCGGCACCTCGCGCGGCGTGCGGCGGCGGTGCAACCGGGCGATCATGGCTCTGAACGACCTGGACGCGCCGCTGGCGGCTGCGCGGCGTCTCGCCTCGGCCTTGCCCGCGAACGCTGCCCAAGCATCTGTTCTCCAGCGCTTTCATCAGCGAATGGCTGCCTTCGGCGAGCCGCTCGGCGAGGACGGTGATGAGGCGCTTCACTCCATTCTCGACTCCCGTTCGCCATTATGAAGCGCATCGTCTGAAGATTCTCGACAGCGGCATACGGCCGCTTCCCATCCGCTCGCTGGCCCCTGGCTCGCTGCTGCCGCTCATCGACCACCCCGAGAGGTACATCTACCGGTCGCAGGCGGTGCTGGACGCGATGACCGAGACCGGCGAGCTGGCCCCCGCGTGCCCGTTCTGGGACGTCAACCTGAGACGCGACCCCAAGCCCCGGCTCGACCTCTTCAAGAAGCTCATCCGCATCGGGCTGGTGGGCGTGCAGACCCGCTGCCGCGCCCGCGCCAGCATCTTCTTCGTGGGCAAGAAGGACGGGCCCCTGAGGATGGTCATCCATGGCCGGGAGCCCTCGGCCATGCACCGTCGGCCGCCGCGGACCGAGCTCGGCTCCGCAGCCGCGCTCAGCGGCCTCTGCCTCGACGCCGACACGCCGGTGGACGGCGACTCAGGCTACCACGGGGCCAGTGCCGACCTCCGCCAGGGCTTCTACCAGATGCAGTGGCTCGAGATCGGCTCCTGGTTTTGCTTTGACTTCCCCAAGGCCATCAAGAACTTCGACTTGGACTCCGTCTACGACGAGGTGAGCCGCTCCTACGTCCGCGTCGACCCTGACACAGTGGTCTACCCTTGCTTCCAGGGTCTCGCGATGGGCTGGAGCTGGTCACTCTTCATTTGTAATGCCATCACTGAGGACGTCACGAGGATTGGCATCGGCCAGGTCCTCTCGATCCCCGCGGATGCCGCCAGGATCGTCTCCGAGCGCGCCCCCCGTGCCCGTCTCGGACGCGGCGAGCTGGCGGGAGCCTCGTACGTCGACAACGCCGACGTCGTCGGCTCCCCGCGGGAGCTCGTGGACGCCGCGCTGCGCGCCATCCTCCGCGAGTTCGAGAGGCGCGGCCTCTCCTTTCACGAGGTCTGCTACGCGACGCAGGACTTCGTCTGCTGCGGCGTCCGCTTCGACTTCCTCCTCGGCCGCGCCGTGCCGCAGCGCGACCGGGCCTGGCGGCTGCATCGTGCCGTCGCCGCCCTGATCGACCGCCGCGGCTGCGCGGCGACGGCCATGGAGGTGATCCTTGGCCACGTCGTCTACCACTTCATGCTCATGCGGCCCGCCCTGGCGATCCTGAGCTCTCTCTACCGCGTGGCCTACTCGGACTGCGACTACTACAAGTTCGACGTGGAGCAGCTGCGCGAGCTCGGCCTCGTGAAGGCGCTGATCCCGCTCGCGGGCGTCGACCTCGGCGCCCCAGCATGTGGGGCTACGCTCTGGCCGCGTCCAAGTTCGAGCCCGACGAGCTCAGGGGCATCGGGGCCTACCGCGAGCGCTGGCGCTTCCTAGCCCTCGACCGCTACTCCGACGATCCCGGGGACCTTCCAGGCGCCGAGTGCTCGACGCTGGCCAGCTACGCCGCCGGCGCCAGCGACGACGCCACCTTCGCCGGCCTGGGCCCGCCGCCTCCTGGCCGCAGCGGCCCGCGCCGCTGGCGCGCCGCGCGGATAGACGTCGAGGCTCCCTCAGCCACAGCCTGCCGGGGGGGTATCCCGGCCCTGCCCGACTCCGCCTTGGCGGCTCACAGGTGGCAGCTCGTGGTGCGGGGCGCCTTCCTCTTCGGCCACCCGGTCCGTCGCGGCCCATGGCTGCCGCGTCCTGTCGATAGGCGACAACCTCTCGTCCATGGTGGCCTTCGAGAAGGGCAGGTGTGCCAACCGTGTCCTGCGGCAGCTCGCATGCCAGGCCGCCGCTCGGCAGCTCGCCACGGGCATCCAGCACTACCACCGCTACTCGGAGAGCAAGCGGAACCCCACCGACTACGACTCCAGGGCCGCCGACCGCTTCGAGCTCGCGACCGGCCAGACGCAGCGGGGCGGGGCTCGCGACCTCGGCGTCGCCATCAGCCTGCCGCCCACGCCGCAGGTACCGCCTGCCGGCCCAGCCGCCGCTGTCGGGACCGGCGAGCTGCCCTGCTCACCAGGGCCCCCCGCGGGCCAAGGCGCAGGGCCCCACTTGCTTGGCGGCCGGCCGCGCACCCGCGCCAGGGCTCGGTGCATCCTCGAGCTCTACGCCGGCTGCGCTCGGCTGACGGCCGCCTGCCTCGACGAGGGCCTCCAGGCTTGGATCCCCGTCGACATCTCGCGCGGCTCCTGGCACGACCTGGCCGACAAGAATGTGATTGGCGCGATCCGCTCGCTGATTGTTCGCCGGGATGTGTGGCACGTCCACCTCGGCACCCCTTGCACGCCTTTTCAGCCAGGCCACCCCAGCGAGGAGCAGGGCAAAGCACTTGGCCTCGGGTGGCAGCTCGGTCGCCTTTACGCTGGACATCCTTCGCCGGCGTTCGTATCGGAGTTAAATGGTCAGTTGAGAATCCTTCAGCGTCTCGTCTTTGAAAGTGTCCCGAGGTCATCGCTTTCTTGGAACGCCACCGTCATTATTTCGTTCACATGCATTACTGCCACTACAATTGCCGCTACCTGAAGCCCACAACCGCCGTCACAGATCTGAAGCCTCTGCAGGCCCTCGAAGCCAGCTGTTCCCGTGATCATGTTCACGAGGTCCTTGAGGGCCTGGTTCGGCTCGGTCCGGGGAAGGGCACCGCCTGGAAGACAAGTCTTGCTGGGCGATATCCGGAGGCGCT